ACTGGGAGCAAAGGGCATCGCTACTAGGAGCAAGGACGCTACTAGGGGCTCCTGGCCGTACATACTTCTAGTTCCCTTTTGGATAGAGCATGGTTTGGTTAAAGATGTTAAAGTCTATTCCTACAAATCATGGGAGGAGGCACGGGGCCCCGTCACGACCCTTAATTTCCTTTCCATTCCAAATTCACCACCGTTGTACCGTTGTGGGTTGAGGCAAGACTTGACATACCAAACTTCCAGTCAGGATCAGTCAGGACACCGTCTCCTCAAGGGAGTTGCTTGCAAAGACATTGTGTGACGGCCGAAGCCAAGTATTTGTATGTATAAATATAATACTGTATATTATACTGTATATTCCATCTTTACTTTGACTGCTCTAAAGTCTTGTTGAACTTATCGGCACTATTTCTGCTTGGCACGGCTAGCATCTCAAGATTCTACGAAAGCTGGACATTATCTTCTTAGCGCAAAGACCTCTAGGATTGGCTAGGATGCAATTGAGCAGCAGCTATCATGCGACCGAGACTTCATTCATCATTGGAGGGACAACTGCAAGGACATGCCTGAAGTGTTGACACGTTTGGAAGGGATCATTGTCTTATGCCTCGCACACAGTTTCTAGCCCAAACAAGCGTAATCAACGAACTGAGAAGTTCTGATTCTGGGGCCAGAATAGGGCATCCCCCGGAGCAAACAGTTATAAAGACCTCCATTCCGAATCTTTCACTGTAACTGGAGGTCTTCACTTTGCGAGTCTGGGCCCAGAGGCAAGTACCAGCGGACCTTCGTTCTGGGACTCGCTTTTCAATTGAATCTCTTTTTCATACACACATCTTTGACTGGCGCGTTGCACATAAAATCAGAAAACGGTTTAAAACATGCTTGGATGCAAACGCTGTGTTTGCATAGGGCTAGACCACCCCCCCTGTACTGGTGACCTATTCACATTTATATTTTGGCTAGTTGCAAAGGTCAAATTAAATCGACCCAACAAGTTTCTTGGAAGACATATGCTGGTGGCAATTCCTGACTTTCCTCATTGAGCGAAAACAAGCTTTCAGACGACTGATTTCCATGCCAGCATTGGTTTTGCTTCCAACGCGTGAATTGGCCGTGCAAGTTCGAGCCTCACTCGCTAACGTAAGCAGCGCTCATTGGTCGTGTCCAGATTTTCCAGTTTGATGCCAAACTATGGCCAATGCTATCACTTGAAAGCATTCCAAACTCCTCTGGCAGAAACATGCCAATGGTCGCGAATGATTCCTTCATTTGGAAAGATTAAATCAGACAGCCATTTCAGCCCAAGGATTTGCGCACTGCATGCGGTCATTCGACTACCCTCAGCGAATCGATCCACACAGCTAAAGCATAAATGAGAACTCGACCCACCACAGCCTGTTGGAACTTCCTCTTTTCAGCTCCGCATGTCCCGTAACACTTTGACAGAAAAAACATGACGGTGCTTTAGAAAAGACTACTGCTTTGGCCATTTCCTAATCAATGGCTCCACCCTTGTAACCATGGAGCAATGGAGCTGGAGCGAGGAACCCCAAGAACCACAGGCGATTGCACATTGCAACACCTGCGTGACCCTCGTGCTGGAAACACATGTTTTAGAGCTATTTATTGTTAGATTTGTGACGGCAACCAATCAGCTAAATCTGGACTCCACCCCAGCCTCGAGAGCCCTTTGTCAAAGGCAGGATGGTCAGCTGCTATGTCATCAACATCGGAGGGGAGGTTTGACATTTCTGCCTTGTACAAATACTAGTTGTTTGTGCCATTTGCTTTGAAGATATGCATGATCCGCGCATTGCACTTGTATCAAGGTTGTCGAAGCCCTTTGTTTGACATGCCATTTTTTTCTGTAGGCACGAGCCACGCCGGCGTGTTTGGATGGGAGCAGCCCTGGCCGCTGCGAGGAGACAATGCTCTCATTTGTTGAGGGGCAGGGGCAGGTGATTTTGCTTTCTGTGAATGATATTGTTCAGCATGACATTATCAAGAAGCAAAACACATACACACTTGTTTAAGTTGTGTCCCCAAACCTGAGGTTCTAAAAAACAGTGTTGACAGTGGTTGAGGAAATTTATTGAAGTGCCTGTAGCTTCACCCAAAAGCTGGGCGAGGCCATGGACGTCCAATTGAAAGTGCAAATTGCTGCCTTTTCAAGAGCTGAGGCCTGATGGATGTCCTGGCGATGCTGGCGGGGCGAGTGCATGCCGCATTATAAACTACTTAGAAGAGGAACAAAGAGATGGAAACAAAGGAAGGTAAGGCTCCTTAATACGGGGCTTTACCTCCCCTTTTTCGTACTGGTTGTTTCTTCAAACAATCTATTTACAAATTGTTCAAAAGTGAGAGGTTCTCCTTTTCGCACCTTCAGCACCTTCCAAATGTCACAACTCTTCAGGCTGGTCAAGCTGGGATTCTTGGAGCCGACCCAGGCAAATGCATATACTGTAGATTATATTAAGAATTTCATTCATATATTTAATAGCAACCAGATTGCATTTGCTTCAACCATGGATACGGCCATCCGTCGTCTCGCATCTTTACCTGCTGAACTCCTGAGTTTCCCTCCTCCTTCTCCTCCTGCTGCTCCTTCTTCCCTCCTCGTCCTCGTTCCTGGCAAAGTTCTGATTCATGTGGCTTCGTTCGCCATTTGTTCCTCCTGTTCCTGTAGATGAACCCGATTTATGTCTTACACTTACACAAAGTCACAAAGGTCGCCCTTTGGGTTACACTGTGCACTTTCACATGCCGCTGTTACAAGAGTAAAGTCAGTTCATGCCATCGCTTTCCATAGAATAGCACGTCGCCTTGCTGGTGGCTCCACAGCTGCCGCACCGGAGGCTAATTCGAAGGAGCTCGTGCACTATAGAAGGGACCTCACCTTTAATTCTCCCACAAGGGCTCAGTGCAATGGCGTGGTCTCCAGTACAAGGAGTACCAGATCTCTCATTGTCCTAAACTCACCGCATTTTGTCTTCTGTTCCCTTAAGTTCTTGTTTGCAGACTTGCCACAGATGCACCTGGTTCAATCTGGTGAACGTTTTGTGCAGTCATGTGCAGTCCATATTTGCGATGAATATCATGTCCTCTTGATGACACTAGCATTCCTGGCATTTGTGACCAGGGAATGGCCGTCATCCTGGGTGCAAAGCTCAGGGACAACTAAATCATTTTGTCTCTTTGGATCTTTGGATAATCTTTGTTCCGGTTGCCTTGAAGAACTTCTATTAGCAAGGCCGTTGCCTTTTGGCAGGACTCGAGTCGCAGTTGGTCCCAACTTTCAGGCCTTTGCCCCAACCTTTGCAAACTCGAACCTACCAATGTGGCCTCACTCAGTGTTGTTTCTGCACAGATTATCCTGCAATCTCCTGCACATGAGCTTACTTCTGATACCTTTGCTTTTGTACTTCAGATAAGCCCATTGAAGTGCGTGTAGGTGTTTGAATCGTGGAATTGGTGCCACCGTGCAGGCAGACAGTGGGAGTACTTTGCAGATCTCAGGGGTCAGGATGCAAAGTCAGAATGGACAGATTGGAGAGGCGAGGCCCTTTTGGCTTTGATAGCACGTTCCTGGGATTTTGAGACCAAAATCATCAGAGCAACCACAGGTCGCGGTGAAGGTCAGTGGAATGATTGGAGACCAATGGAGCGCGCTGCTCCAGCGGAGCCTTCCAGGCTGTATACATGTTCCTTTGCCCTTTTCATTGAATTTCTTTATTCATGATCGCTGCTTGCTTTGCGGTGTTGTGCGATGGGAAGTGTGTTCAGAACCTTGAGCACACGCTCAGCCCTTTGGAACCACCTTGAACCGTGCAGTAGCCTTTGAGGACCTTCGAGGCCTCCGATCCCTTCATCGACCTCTCTTTGACCTCATTGGCCCAGCTGGTGCAAGAACCACAAAGTGCTGAGCTGGAGCCACAGCTACAGCTGGCTTGAATTTCAGGTTTTCGTGTCTTAATATCCAGATCGGCCTTGATTTTTTAGTCAACTGAGAGGGATTTTGAAGACAAGGGATTAATTGCATTGAGCAAGGCAGACAATGGGAGACCCATGCCATTTAAGTGCGCTTCCTTTCTTTTAATGCTTGGTTGAACTATTTTCTTTTTGGCATCCTTTAGGTACACTGATTTGCTGGAACGACATTCGAAGAAGTTCAGTTCTCCACGGGTATTACTGGTTGGAGGCCATCGCTACTAGTAACAAGGGCATTACTAGTATCTGCCAGGAGCAAGCCACGCAGCGCCTAGCGCAGCAGCTTCGCAGTCCCGATGTCCGGCTCTCGCGGCAGCAGCTCCTGCGCTGCCACCTGGCAAAGCGATACCGGCGAGGGGGGTAGGAGCAAGGACGCTACTAGGGGCTCCTGGCCTTACTACTAGGAACAAGGAAGCTACTAGGACCTTTTCTTCCTCCATGTTTTTGAATGACTTCTGCCCTTCCTGTTTTTGTGGGTGCAAGGGTTCTTGTGTCCTAACATGTAGCAGCTTGTCTTCAATTAGTAGTTTCCTTTAACTGCTCAGCTTCCCTACTACGGCCCCTCATCAGCAGCCTACCTCCCTAAAGAGGGGCCGGTGGGGATGCAGGCAAGCAGCATTTCTTTAGAAGTGTGCAAACACAAGAGCAGAACTAGAGAGGCAACAAATTCACAACACCCCAAGGCTGCAGTAGGTCCTCAGCGGAAGTTTAAATTGGCATTCAATAGTCATTTTCTGTGAACCCCTAGTATGTAACAGCATTCATTACATGTTCACCTATCTAGCTACGGTTCACACATCACGTGTACAACACATGTGACAACCGTCGCTCTTTGGCTCAAGGAAAAGGACGCCCGTCCGTTTCCTTGCAGGGTGCCGGGTTTAACTGTCCTGTGGACGGTTTTCCCCTTCGTCGCTTTTCGCTTCCGCACTCTTTCGCACTTCGTTGCCCCTCCGTTCGTTCGTTCGCCGTCGTGCCTTCGTTCGTCCGGCAACCTGCACTTTCGCCACGGGGACTCGACCCTCCAACCGTCGGGTACTCGTTCCGGTCGATCGTGCCGCTAGGGATTTGGCATACCACTTCTACTTCCTCCCGGTTGATAGAATAAGTTGGGCCATCCCTTATCTTCCCAATAATTTGTGGATTCAATTGGTTATCAGCCGTATCGCGCAAGATACGGAAAGGCCCCTTGATCCCATTGCAGCACGCTTCACGCTGCTTCAACGCCCTGGGATGGGCAGGATCAATCCTGCGCCGCAGGATCCGGACGTCGCTTCGTCCAGCACAGCTGCCGCCGCAGCCGCGACGTCCGAAGGTCCCCAAGACCAAGAGGCCGCAGCCTCCCTTGGGGACGTGGCTGGAACCGCGCCTAGCGCGGAAGCCACGGGCCAAGAACTCGAGGAAGGTTCAGCCGAGCCTCCTCTTGTTCCCCGTGTCAAAACGGGTGTCTCCTCATCTCAACCCACTTATACTCCACCCGGCTCCGAAACCGCCGGTGCGGAGGAGGCTGATGAAGTTGCGCCTGTTGATTCGCCAGCCACCGAGGTCCTTCCAGTCGAGACCAACACGCTTGAGTCGTTAGTTCGACAAGAGCCTGAACCTAATACCCAAGCCCCTAAAGCCGAAGCAGAGCTCCAGACCGGAACCGCTGCTTCGCGCGGAGAGGTCTTGGAAGCTCAGGACGACTCGTTAGGCCATGCTAACGCCGACGAGCCGCCCTTTGATGTCTTTTCGTTGTTTGGCCCACCTAAGATAGAGCCCACCACTAAGGAAGAAGTAGAGGAGGAAGTGTATGCCGATCCCTCAACCTCTCCCGTGGGCCTACCCCCACTGCATACTCATAATCATCCGACGCAGTTCGAATCATTGGCCACTGATCCGGTCTTTGATGAAGCTGAGGTTGACTTTGGAGGCGAGGAGCCTGGTGACGATCTCGACGATCAGGCGGAACCCACCACCAAAGAAGAGCAGCAGGTAGGGGACGAGGCTGACGACGAAACCGCGCCTAGCGCGGAGACATCACAAACTGCTTCAGCGGCCGTTGACCCTCAACCCAAGCGTACGCGCGGAGCGAGAGGAGGCCAGAAGCATCAATTTGAACAATCCGACAAGAAGTATGCAATGACATGTGACCTCATCTCAAGTCACTTGGCCTCGCATACTTATCGCCGAGTAGGCAAGACCTACCAATTACCATTTGTGAAACCGCTGTCAGCGCGGAAGGACTACCCTGAGTGGTACAAGTACGTCGTCCATCACGCGGACGCCTGGGCTGAGACCCCCAATGAGGGTAACATCTCTGACGGGGCTCTCAGAGCATGGGCAGCCATCCTCCCAGAATTTTGGGCATGGTGTTCTCGCCACATGCCGGATATAGTACAAGGGGTTAATCAACCTATGTACCGGTTTCCCCCAGGTTATTACCAAAAGACCTACAAGTTCATACCACTCCGACAGGTCCGTTCAGCCGCAGCTGCATCATCGTCTCAAGCCGCAGCATCCACCCAACAGTCGTTCCCGGTCACCGTCCCTGCGCGCACATTCCAACCAATCATCGGTTCGAGTGCTGCTGGTTCATCCACAGGCTGGCGACCTCAGTTGCGACCAATCGATCATCCGGTACAGCAGCGTTCGCAGACTCCCCAAGCTACTTCGAGGTCTAGATCACAGACCAGGCCTTCAGAACCGGACCGACCGCCCCGTCCGATAAGGCCGTGCCCGAGGCCTAATCGTGAAACCGCTGAGTCTCTCGCGGACACGAACCAGCCAGTGCGTACGGTCCACCTCAACGACAACACCGAATCAACCGACGATCCCATGGGTGAACCAGTTGATGAGGTGCAGGCGGAGCCCAGTCCGGAAGCGGAGGCTGATCAAGATTACCCGGAGGGAGCGAGGGAGGAAGGGATAGCTCAACTAGATGGTCAGGGTGGAACCGCGCTTGCGCGGGAGGAAGAGGAAGCTTTCGAGCCAGATCCAGTGGTCGAAGTTGAAGGTGACGATTTGGAGTCGGTTCGCACTCGTGCAGCTAACACCATAACCCGAGCCGTAAGGTCCGGTCGATTTGGTCGTGCACTTGCAACTGCAACTCCCCCTAATCCACCACCCTTAGACCCCGAGTATCTGAATACTCCTCATAGGCCTCAGAACTTACCACCGCATGTTAAGCTTCGAAGGCCACCTCCACCTAAAGCAAGCACCCGGAGCCTACCCGTGCCTGCGCAGCCTCCTAAAGCCGACGCTCCGCAACCGGAGCCTAATCAGCCGAAGGGGGCACCGCAACCGCGTCAGCGCGGGTTCGTCAGGCTCCAACATGCTGCCCGCGAACCGCCGGCGCAGCCTATTCCGATGGACACAGCTCGTGACACTGTGTACGACTTGCCTGATCACGTATGGCGAACTCGCCCCACGAGGGAGCCAGGCGGTCTGACAGTGCCCCAGTCCGAACTTTTGGTGCATCCGAACACTGAGGTACACGCCATGGACGTGGGCGACGACGAAAGTCCACCCCGCCCAGCGGCCAAACCTCGAGCAACCGCCCCTTGGCGGCGAGCACCAACACATGCCCTGGAGGCCGAGGAAACCCCTGAAGCACCGGCGCCAAAGCCGCGTGCACCAGCGAATCCTCCTCCTCCCAAGCGCACTCGTGTCGTGTTTGCCACTACGTCACGAGTTGTGCTAAGGCCAGGTCCTGGCGCTCCGGAAGCAACCGCGCCCAGCGCGGAGCCATCATTTGCGGAGCATACACGGGGTACCGTCCCTCTGGTCGCCCAAAGGGTAGTAACCGAGCATCGCTCGGGTGAACCTCCGGCCCAGTCTCCATCAAGGACGTCGGTAACCGTAACGCCACTAGTAGTGGACCCAACTCATCGTACCCCTAATCGTAATTGGGCTGATCAATCGCTCGATAACGACCTGGACGATGAGCCAACTGATTCCGGGGCAGCCCCATCCGGATCTTCAAGGTCTAGGACACCGCCACCAAAGCCCATGGTGGTCAAGCCCCCGCCACAATGCATTAGGGAGGACCCTTCTCAACGTAAACCACAATATGTTGAGTCAGGGCGGGTGGAAGAATTCTTTCCTCACGGATTCTTCACAACACCTCCTCCTGGACCACCAAAACCTCCGCCACCGCCGCCCACGGCTCAGGTGCCGAAACCCAAGCCGATGCCTGAGCGACCGCCGCGGTCTTCGAGCCCTGCTCCCGCAACAGTCGCTCAGGATGCAACCGGCAGAGGTAGAGGTCAGGGGTACCCACCACCTCCTGCACCCTCTGGAACTGCGCCCCGCGCGGAGGAGGATCCTGCAGAGGCTGAACCAAGTGGCGGTACCTTAGCGCCGCCAACTTATGGGGACCCTCCGCCTCCAAACCCGCCACAGCAGGACGACGATATGCCACTCCCTCGCAATCGTTACCTCGAACTGTGGCAAGAAGCGAATCACGTCTTCGGTCAACAAATGTGTGACCCTATGACCCTAACCTTACCCGGTCAAGCTCATAACATCGAGGTTGGTCTAGATTTCCATAAGGTTCTAGATGCAATGTTGGTGTATAAGCTTGAAGTCCCCACACGACAGTGTGTTGATGCTCTTGCCAATCTCGAGCGCCTCGGCGCAAGAATAACCATCATATCCTTCACGGGACATGAAGGTTATGCAAGAGCGGCCTCACAAACCGCGCACTTTCGTGACTGCGTTCGCGCAGCTGGACTCCAGATGGGAGGGGGGATCTTTCTTACCAACTCCCGAACTGGCCCGGAAGGCAAGACCCCAATTGTCACCCGATTGGGGATTTGCGCGTACGTCGACGACGATTCTGACATCATCAGTGAGGTACGCCGCACCGGCTGCTACGGCTATCTCTGCGACGCTACGCGCCTTAACCAACCCCATTCGGTACTGCTAGACTTAGCTAATATGATCCGCTCTTCCGGGATTCATAACTGGAAGCTTGCGCATCATCCTCGACCTTTGGCGTCCGATCAATTTTCAGGCGAACCCAACCCTCGAGGAGGAGGCCGCCGCCGACCCAAAGCTCGATAGGGCCCTACATGCCAGTAACCGCTGCTTTGCGCGGTCACTTTTCGTTCGTAGGACCATTAGTTAGGTTGAGTGCAGTGAAACTTCAATCTCAGTACTTTCAAGTCATTCTAGTTGAACTTTAGGTGATGCATCCAATTTTCTTTCAGTGCACTCGTTCTTCACCACGCAACAGCTGCCACAAGGCGCTGGAGTGGTCTGGACTCTTCGTGTAGCGCGAAAATAACTGCACCTGCAGTTGGGTGGGAACCATGGCGAACCACACAGGGTTTTCCCCGCCTGATGA